GGGGGGAGGATTAAGGAGAGCAATACAGGGGTAAAAGGGGGGGGTTAAGGAGACCAACACAGGGACAAAAAGGAGGGAGGTTATGAAGAGCAACATGGGGACAAAAAGGGGGAGAATGGAGAGCAACACGGGGATAAAAGTGTGTGTGTGTGGGGGGGGTTATGAGGGGAGAGGGGGCAGAAGGAGCGACCTCCCCCCCCCCCCCCCCCCCCCCCGCCGCCCTGCTCACAGCTTCAGCACAGCCAGGTTGGCCTCCAGATCGTAGGCATTCTCCTTAGCCTGCGTCTCCACGTAACGCTCCAACGTCGCCAGGTTCTCGGGGTTGTACCTAAAGACAGAAAACAAGTCACCGCAAAGAAGCGCCGACTCGGCCTCCACGAAGCCCTTCCCTCGGCCCCCCGCAGCCCCCAACTCCCGGCTCCACGCCCCGATCTCAGGCCTCAACCCCCGGCTCCAGGCTCGCCCCGCACACCGCCATCCCCCCCGCTTCCCCCGGTGCCGGTACCGGTCGATTCCCCGCAATAATTTGCCCACGTTGGCCCTCATCTGCTCAAACAACGCCATGACGCGAGGAGCCTCCGCCACCGGAAAGGAAGAGAAAGAGCCGGCTTCCGGTGGCCGCGGCGACTTCCGCTTCCGGCGCGGACGCTCGCTAAGCATGATGGGAAAGCGAGTTGAAAACACGCACTGCGCAGCCGCAGAATGAAAAAGCAGCGCCATCATCGGCCGGGGTGGGGGGGGGAGAATATACCCGAAGGCCACGCCCACACGGTAAAGCCACGCCCACAAACGTGGCAGGCCACGCCCACACGGGGAGCGCGCGTTTCACAAAACGGCAGGCCACGCCCATTAAAAACCGGAAGGTCCCGCCCACAGTGCCAGGCCACGCCCACCGCTCGCGGCGCCCTCTTCCGGTCGTGGCACGTGGCTGCGGCCTGCGTGCGCCGGGCTGGGCCTGACTCAGCCAAAATGGGGCAAAATGGGCCAAAATGGGGCAAAAACGGGCTGAAATGGGGGTAAAGCGAAGTCAAAACTCACCCGCATCCCAGAGGGGATTGAAATAAAAGCGATGGGTGGGAGGGGGAGGCACGCTGGGCTCAGCTGGGCAGTGTGAGGCTGCCTGGGATGGAGCAGGCCGCAGTGGGACAGATGGGAATAAATGGGAGAAAAGTGAAGGGGGGGGGCACACAGAGGCGTACTTGGAACATTCCAGAACCAGGCTGCGCCGTGCTGGAGCCATACTGGGATCCACTGGATGCCTACTGGGGGTGAACGGGGGCTGAGCTGAAGCCGGAGTGGGAGAAAACGGGATGGAAGCCATTGTTGTGGCACATGGGGTTTTTAATGGGATCCTGTGAGGCCTGGCTGCT